ATGTGACCTTGGGCTAGCGGTGTGATCCCGGGTCCTCAGTTTCCCCGTTGGTGAAGTGGCGCCGATGAAAGCATCTGCCTCGGGGCTGCCGGGAGGATGGACCGGTGGTGTGTGTTGGGCGCAGAGTCGGCGCGCTGCGGATGGTGCCTGTTGTTATCTGCTCCCCAGGAAGGTGCGCAGGGCCGGTCGGCCGGGCCCGCAGGCCGTGGTCCACCCCCTCGGCCTTGTGTATCCCCCCGGACCCCCCACTGCAGTGGCTCTGAACCCTTCTGGGATCTCAGTTTCCCTTGAGAATCGGGACAAACCGTTAATTGTGGTGAAAAGCCCAGAAAGAAGATGTTTAAGGCGTTGCAAATAGCATCATTCTTTGTGTTGATATTGTGTACAACTTACATTTGCATAACGCTTATAGCACATCAGACCTTACGCCAAATACTTCAGAATGAATGTGCAGCTCTTAAAAAAAAAATCTAATAAGGTAGATTGTATTCTCCTCTCCTCATCCTTAAAAAAAAAAAATTAACAGCTGGGGAAACTGAAACTCAAAGTGGTGACTCACCTTCTGTCTAAATCAGCCTTCTCAACACCTCTACGTTCCTCCCTTCCAAGCCAGAAAAACAGCAACAAAATCGTATGTCCCTCCTCTCAGGTCACCGAGTTTCTCCAGGTTTCACCAGCTCCCACGAAGGGCAGCAGGATCCGGACCCGAGGGAGTTTGTGTCCAGAGCCCTTTTTCTCGATGTTTTGATGTTTGCCTCCCAGACGATGAGCCCTCTCTGGGTGTTTGTGGGGGGTGGGGGGGGATCTTTTTTTGCATCCTATGTCATAGATTTCACAGTGCCTTTGAATCTCCTGACAACCTTAGATTTAACAAAAAATCGTGCTTGCTTTTAGCATGTTTAGAGGAGATAGGCCACTTAGCTGTATGATTTTTCTCCATAGCTTGACTTAAAACTTTGTAAATGTTGAATCAAGTTTGCTTTCCTGTGCTTAATTTTTTTTTTTTAATCAATTGAATTTCAGACAATTGGTCTACCTTCTTCCCATTCCCCTCCTTCCTTTCTCCTCATTTCCCCTCTTCTCCCTAGGGCTTGTTGTTGTTGTTGTTTTTGAGTTGGAGTCTCACTCTGTCGCCCAGACTGGAGTGCTGTGGCCACTCCCGGCCACCGCAGCCTCGACCTGCTGGTCTCTGGCGATCCTTCGCCTCAGCCTTCCAAGTAGCTGGAACTACAGGCGCGCGCTACCATGCCCGACTCTTTTTTTTTTGATTTATTGTAGAGATGAGGTCTTGCCAAGTTGTTCGGGCGGGTCCCTAGGACTTTTTTAAAATTTGACATGACCATCGCCCTCCTCTGTGGAGCAGACCTTCATTCTTGGTGTGCCCCTTCCCACTTCATTGCCTTTCTTCCATTGTTCCCTCCCTGCCTCGTCCAACTTATGTTAGAGTAATTCTCCCACAAAAAGTTATTCTCCCATTCTGGAACCTACTAGAATCTCCTGTCACCTGTCTCATTCAGCCTGAACTCCTCCTCTGACTTACAAAACACGTATCAATCCAACCCCACCTTATTTTTCCAGTGTTCTGTTTTAGTGACTCTCAGCTTACACCTCTCTTGTGGTGTCTCTGCACTTGATGAGTGTTCTGTCTATTCCCAGCTCTGCTTTTACTCAAGACTCACTGCAACATGGAAAGTGCTTCCTATGCTCTGTAGAAAAGACCCTCTTCTACTCTGTTTGTCTTGGCTGTCTCTGCCACACCGTTTAACCTAAGCCAATTGTGGAAGGTGTGTCTCACAGTTTCTTGGTAGTATGTGCTCCCGCCCATTGATATTTGTGGTGTGTATTACTCATAAGTCAGTCCTCCCACTTGCAAGAAATCTTTTTTTCCCTTGAGGATCTTGGAGTTTAAGAGTTGAATGCCACAATCAGGGCTTTTTTCTTCGTGTGAATTCATTTTGGAGTTTTACTTTTTTGGAGGAAGAGAAAACCATTAACTTGTTTTAAAAGTTAAGAATACAGACTCGATGGCTCAGCCTGTAATCCCAGCACTTTGGGAACTGAAGCGCGTGGATTGCCTGAGCCTGTGGGTTTGAAACCAGCCCAGGCAACTTGGCGAGACCTCATCTCTACAATAGATTAAAAAAATAAGCCGGGTGTGGTAATGCGCACCTGTAGTTCTGGCTACTTGGAAGGCTGAGGCAGAAGGATTGCTGGAGCCCAACAGGTCTACGCTGGGGTGGCCATGAGCATGCCACTGCACTCCAGCCTGGATGTTGGAGTGAGACTCCCACTAAAAAAAAAAAAAAAAAAAGAACAGAAAAGCAAACTTGATTCAATGTAGGTGGAGGAGAAGCAGTTTGGAGGAAGGAAGATTTAGGGTAAAAAGAGTTTTTAGACTAGCTGTATAGAATCTGATCAAAATAAGATGAGGTGAACTATTCTGGGTCCCACCAAGTGGTTTGCTATGTGTTTTTGCTTTTAAAATGTTAACTACTTTTTGCTAATGTGGAGGTTTAGATAGGCCTCCATTTACTACTGGTAGAAAGTGCTAATGCCCATAGAAGTTGAAAAAAAGGCACCCAGTCTATTACAGTGGCCACTTTTGTTGAAGGGAAAATGTGTTAGAGGAAGCAGCACTTTAGCTGGCTTGGAAGAATCAGGAAGATTTCCAGGTACCTGGCATTTCAGACAGTGGTGACTGACTGAGCAGAGACCTAGTGGAAGCCAGAAAATACATGGGGTGTCATGGTTGAAGGCATCAAGGACCCCCTGTGAAGGTGAAGCTTGGAGTATCCAAATACCCAGCTAAGCCTATTGGATCTTATTTAATAGGGAGTCAAGATTTTGAGAGGGAAAGAATTTGTCTGAAACTCTGTGTAGGAAGACCCAATAGTGGAAGGAACGTTGTTCCAAATTAGAATTGGGCATGAGTGGGGAAGGATGTGTCAAGGTTGTCACAGGGACTTGGCAACTGAGTGGATGTAGGGATTTAGGGGTAGGTTTTAAGCTAAGTGGCAGGAAAGATGGTTGTTATGTTCTTTGACCGTTGGTTGGTGTGACCACCAAATAGTCGACATTTAAGAAAAACTCACTTGCCAGGAAGTGTACTGTTGTCCCCTTGACCTCAAGAAACCCACAGCCTAGTAGGGGAGACAACCATGGGAGGAGGAGGAACAGTACAGTATGATACAAGTAATGATTGAAATGTGTACAAGGTGTTATAGTAATCTAGGAAAGGAAGACTTGCTGGGCCTAACTGGGCTCTAAAGGAGCATGAGAGTTTACCAGAAGACAGGGAGTTTCTGGCAGGGAGAATAGCATGTGCAAAGTCACAGTCACAGAAAGAGTGCAGTGTGCAGTTTTATCCCAGAGTCTTCAAATGCAGGAATTGCCAGAGATGAAGTGCCTGGGGCCTGCTGAAGAATATGGATTTTACCCTGCAAGCAGGCTAGTGGAGAGCCTCGGAAGAGTTTGTGAGTTCTAAAAAATGCCTTAGTGCTTACACCCCTGGGTTCGCGGTCTATTGCTGGTCTGCAATGATCTAAGTACAGAAATTGAGTGTTTGGCAACTTTTATAGCACTGTGATTTTCAGGGGCTAGAGAGGCAATGTCTAAAAATGAGAGGAAAACCAGAAAAGGGCATTGCCCATAGGGGGCCCACAAAAGGGGCTGAAGTCTGTGGTGGAAGACATGACGGAAGCAAAGGAGTCTGAGGATTGAATTTCAGAGAGGAAATGAAGCTACTGACAAGCTGCTGGCCTCATTCACAAAGAAAGAAATTAAAGGTGCAAAAGCAGGGTGAGACACTCCCACTCAGGCTGTAGTGGAAGGGCTGAGGTTGAGGAGATCTCAGCCCCAGGGGTAAGATGAGTTAGAACTCATCTTTTAGGTCAGAGTCACAAACAGGAGTGCTTCCAGGACCCAGGCTGGGAACCTGCAAAGGAAAGTAGCTGAGTGGAAGGAAGGAGAGTATGAGGTGAAGTAAGGTGCTCTGCCCTGTGGGAGAGGACAGTCGCCCATGTATATGATACTACTGCCAGTTACACAGGGTGGGCTCAGTGATGTCTAATCTTGTTATCCAAGAGAAACCAGAAATAAGGATTTTATTATGTAAAATCTGTGTGTTTTGTTTTTACAGTGGCAACTATTTATGTTTTAAAGATTATACACACTGAGTTATATTAATAAAAATTTTGTATTAGTGTTCTTTTTAAAGTACATACTCTTAAAAAAAAAAAAAGATGTATGCTAAACAAAGCTTGTTATTGGGCCAGATTCAGCTTTGGACTGTCTTTTTAGGACCTCCACTTTTAATAGTAGGAGACATGGCGTAGTAAGACCCATGGTTTTTGTTGTTGTTGTTGTTGTTTGAGTCAGAGTTTCACTCTGTCACCCAGGCTGGAGTGCAGTGGCATGCTCACAGCCACCTCGACCCGCTGGGCTCAGGGCGTCCTTCTGCCCCAGACTTTCAAGTAGCTGGAACTACAGGCATGCGCATCACTCCTGGCTAATTTTTGTTGATTTATTGTAGAGATGAGGTCTCACCAAGTTGTCCAGGCTGGTCTTGAACCTGTGGGCTCAGGCAGTCCTCTCACCTCGGCCTCCCAAAATGCTGAGATGATAGGTGTGAGCCACTACACCCAGCAAATATATAAATTTTAAGAAAGGAAAAAAAGCTATTAAAATTGTAATACTCAATAAGATGAATACAAGTCACATTTGACTTCTGCAGTTACAGGAGGTGCTCAAAGTGGTTACCATCAGCATCCAGACACTTCTGATTATGGCAAATATCTCTTAAAATGTGTATACATTTTTTTGGCACCCCTGGTATTAAGTACAACAGAACTGCTGGAAGTGTATTGGAAAAAAGAAAGAGCCAAAGGACTGTGGGAATTAAATAAGGACTGGGGAAGGTGATACCAGTATACAGGGACTGGATGTAAAAGGGGTCTAAAGTTCAACTGAACAAGGCAAGATGAGAAACTAGTCTTAACAGCCAGCCTGTTTTTCAATTTGTGAGAAAAAGAAAAAGAGAGAGGGGGAAGGAAGGGGTTTTTTTTGTTTTTTGTTTTGTTTTTGAGTTGGAGTCTCACTCTGTCACCCAGGCTGGAGTGCAGTGGCACACTCACAGCCATCGACCTGCTGGACTCCGGAGATCCTTCCACCTCAGACTTCCTGGTAGCCCGAACTACAGGCGTGTGCTACCATGTCCAGCTAGTTTTTTGATGTGTTGTAGAGACGAGGTCTCATCAAATTGCCCAGGCTGATCTCAAACCCGAGGGCTCAGGCAGTCCTCTCACCTCAGCCTCCAAAGTGCTGGGATTACAAAAGAGTTGGTAATTGACCTTTTTCCCAATTTTTTTCCCACTTGTGAAGTAAGGGAGGAAAAAGCTAAGAATGAAAAATATATAGTTCAAGGAGAAGTGGCCTATTGCTATTCTGACTTTAGAGGGTTAAATTTGACCTTGTATTTTTTTTTTTTTTTTTACTTCCCTTTCAGTTAGAAGAGCTTGGTACCTGTTTTCATGAATGGATTCTTGGCCAGTTGATTTGTTCATGAAGGAGATAATTCACAGATGTAATACTAGGTAGTGACGTCGAGTTTTTATTTTGGTTTTACCAGAAAGGGGGTTGGTGGCCTTTTTGCATTTCCTAGAATAATATTTTTTACTCACTGTGGTTGTGAAAATCATCTTCTTAAGAAACAATGATTTGTTCAGTCTCTTCTTACAGTTAATATTTTGGGTTATACCAGAATGTTGAAATAGGGGATACTTACATTA